GGCTTTCTCCATTGCCGCCCCGAGACTCTGGAATAGTCTCCCCCCCTTCATAAAATTCTCTCCATCCTTGGAAATGTTTAAATCAAATCTCAAGACCTACTTATTTTCCAAGGCTTTTGGATCTCGTTGATATTACATGTCTTACAAAGTTTTCTTTCTATTTTAATTCTTTTATTATATTATTCCTCTGTTCAGCACTTTGGCCGACACTTGATGTCTTTTAAATGTGCTATATAAATAAAGCTGACTTGACTTGACTTGATATCTCTTCATTTTTTTAAATGACGGATATTAATTAAATAGCCAATTGAGGTAATAAGACAGCAAATCATATTAAGTTCTGTTTTCACTGAGTTGACAAAGTCACAAAGAGTTTCATTTTCTATCCCAAGGTATTAACGTTATACCTCTTTTCCATCAATGCAGTAGTGGTGCAGAGTTTGTGGTGCACTGCTGTTAGAGAACAAGCCCACAATTTGACAAGTTAGAGAAGTCATTATTTTGCAATGTTAGTGTTGGAATTTGGGGAAACGTTAGTAGGAAGAATCAGAATCGGTGGCCCGTATTGCAAACATATTTAGCTCTAGTATTGGGACTACGCTGGTACAAGAGCTAGTAGAAATGTGCTACACCTCTTACCCTTTGGTTGGGCTGCATTCACTGCCTTTACATGAGCCTGAGTTGCTGCTGCTGAGAGAAGCGTTTCCATAGGGATCTCTATTACTGGCCGCAGCCGGAGTGCGCCTGGTACACAGTAAGAGGAGACATGTTAATGTGTTCCTGGCAACACCATGAAACCACAGTCCAGACACTAAGTGAGCTGCTAAGCTAAACCATGACAAACAGATCCACAGTGCAAACAGAAATGAATGGAAAACACTTCAATCCAGGTCCACCACCATGCTTATACAACACAGGTTTACACAGATACACAGAGTACAATATTTCAGCATGTCAGCCTGAGAAACAAATACACACACTCCTCTTGGCACTCACAACAATGCTGAAACTGAAAAGGACATCAAATTAGCGTTACTCAAATGAAAAAAGAAAGTTTTCCCCAGAAGGGAACTAAAAGAGAGCAATCAGACAGAAAAGAAGAGAGTCAGACTAGACAGGATGTTTTCTAGAATGTGGCGTCACAAAACATTTACAGCAGTGCAAAACATCTTGCCATTCCCATGCTTTAAAGGATCAAGACTGATCGGGAGGAAAGAAGAGCGAGTCGGGACAGACCGGGAGCGAGGGGTAGAGGGAGAGTTTGTTGAACGACCGTGGCGATCCGGAGACTTGGTGGAAGCGTATCCCTTTGTCGGTGACTTGGTCGATACATAGCCTTTAGTTGGGCGCATTGACACCATACAGCTTGACTCCATGGGCACGTAGTCTAACTCTATGAACCTGCAGTAGTCAAACCTGACCAGAGACAAGAGGGTGTTAAATCACAGAGGGTGGCAATGTGCCTGCTGCACACTGAAGGGAGGTAAGGTTGGTTGACATTTAGCATATCTCAGCATAATTTTAAAGTGTAAGAACTCAAACAGTGAAGTGGCTCAGGAGAGCTTGCTTTCTAAAAGCCATGCTTCACTGTTGAGGCTCCTCTGTTTGGCTTCCTGTACTGCACCGCTAATAGGAGCAGTTTACTGCTATGAGGCTTTTACTGGAATGTAAACTAACACTGCATCCTGAAACACAATTTACAAGTGATAAAATGTTTTAGGTCTTCTAAGAGCAACATGGAAGCAGCGGCAACAACAATAATTCATAAACGCCCCATTCTAACTCGCAACACACTTTCACAAAAATATCAACAAACTTATAGAAATTTCCCCCCACTTTTGATAACAAGTGCAAACTAGCTTAGCTAAACAAGTAAATGAAAAAAAAAGTTAACTTTAAGACAACTGACACCTGTGCAAAACCACTATAGAGACCAAGTAAAACCACATAACATCAAAGAGTAGAATTGGTGGTGTATATATATTTTCACCTCTAGGCATTTTTACTATCCAGCAAAACATGACACAGTTTGTTAGTACAGTTTAATTATATCAGTGGTAGATAGAAAAGGGTTATCTGTGATTGACAACTTCTGTCAGTGTCTGTGTGGTTTTAAAGTCTATAATGAATGTTCACCAACTGAGTTACTGTTGTTCTTTAACAAGGACATAACTGTTGCCCAATCACTGGACACCACACTGGGAGGGGAGGACAAGCAGGGTCAATCAGAACAGCCATGATGGTATTGGACACAGGACACGAAAACTCCACACTAAACATGCACATAGTCTTGTATATAACTCGTCTCTGTCTTTAAACTTTTTGCTGTTCATGTCATATATATGTATATATATAAATATATATATTAGGGGTGCAACGATACTTGTATCGATATTGAACCGTTCGATACAGTGCTTTCGGTTCGGTACGCATATGTATCGAAC